TAATTTAGAATGGCTGAATGATGACACACATGAAGTGTCGACACTTATAATCAATAGGGAATGTTTTCCTTTTACCCATTTTTAATTCGAATATTTTGCAAATTATTCTATTTTAATATATTATATATATATATTATATAATATATATATATATAATAGAAATAGTAAAGTGAATATGGATGGCTGTTGATTATTTGTTATTATATATAAGGCTATAAAATAACATTTAAATTTATTAATATTAATAATTAACATACTCTTATTTTCAGCTTACATATAATTCTCTGATTTTCAGGTTTAATGAGAATTTTTTACAGCTAATATTGGATTTTTAGTAATTAGTGTTTTTAGTTTAAGTTTTTTAGTTTAATAAGATATTTTAAATGTGAATGCTCTTTTGCAAAAACGCCAGTATCGAAATATATTTTTTATTTCGCATTTCTTATTTTAGATTAAAAAGGACTTCCTGATGATGTTGAGAGAACATAAGGATATAGATAGGCACTCGAGATGGGCGGATGTCAAGAAGAAAGTAGAAAATGATCCACGATATAAAAATGCGGATTCATCAGCCACTCGTGAAGATTGGTTCAGAGATTATTGTAGGATACTCAAGATGAGCGTAAACGCGAAAAGGAGAAGGAAAAGGAGAAAAAGAGTCCAAGGTATTTTAAATTTTACAATTTGACTAAAATGAATGTTCTTCTTGCATTAAGCCACATCCTTCTGCTTTGCATGTGGCTGTGATAAAGTTTCTTTTCAATTATGCATTGGTTACCAAAATGTAATTGAATATGCTTATGGTTTCTATTTACTGATATTAACTTACAGGAGCGCAAAGAACGTAAGGATTCATCATCTAAACATGAAAATAAAAAAGAATCGGGTAAGAAGGATGAAAAAAATGTGAGTGCGGATTCAGCATCCGTATTATCTTCTGGGGAGCAACTGAGTGAAGGAGAGGGATCTCATAAGGAGCGCACACTAAGCAACAACAGTATGACTGAAGAGGAAGACGAAAAGCAAAAGGAAAGAGAAAAGAAAGCACGGGCAGAGCAGAGCATAAGAGAGAGGGAGAAGGAAGTGCAGAGAACTCTAGCTACTCACATGAGAGACAGGGACAAGGAGAGAGAACATCACAAGCGGGATGAAGCCGTGCAGGTGAGTGTAATTATAGTTTCAATATTACTTGCTATTATTATTTCTATAAGAATTGTATATCTCCTTTTAACAGTAGATTTTTTAAGCTGGTACCATAATCTGTATATTTGTTATAGTGATTTAGGCAGTTTTGTAAATAAACTATTTATGAATGAATATAAATATGTGTTAAGTATCTTCTGACAACCAGTAATGTAGCAATTTAAATTTATATACTATTTGTAGGAGAGATAATTAATATAGAGCTCGTAAACAATTTTTCCTCGGTACGGATTGGTGAACCAATCAACTTTACTAAAAAATGGAAAATAATGTAAATATTATATGGTACTATAATCAGTGTTTTTAATTGTGTATATTAACATTATTATATAAAATATAAGTTACATAATTAAGGTCTGTATAATTTTCAGCATTTTACGGCGCTTTTATCTGATTTGGTACGCACCGGTGAACCAACATGGCGTGAGGCAAAACGGCTTCTTCGTAAAGATCACCGATGGGATTTTTAGCTGATCTTCTTGATCGGGAAGAAAAGGAACGGCTATTTGATACGCATATGGAACAACTGAATAAGAAGAAACGTGATAAATTCCGTGAAATGCTTGATGATCTGCAGCAGGTAACATTAACTAGCAGTTGGAAGGAAGTGAAGAAGATAATCAAAGAAGATCCTAGATACACCAAGTTTTCTTCAAGTGAAAAGGTTTGTGTCATATTTGATTTGGTAAATTATATAAGGTTTTACTAAACATAGCTTTGAGAGATAATTCATGATTGATGCATGTTTTACTTCTATTCATTTTTCATTTTAATGTGAGCAGGCAGAATATACAGAAATATAATTAATGTTTTATTTCTTAGAATTTTAAAGCATTTAGTGCAACCTGCATATGCCTTTTGCTAGTTTATTTCAAAAAATATTTGCTTGTGTAAAAATAGGTATAGATTTGTAATGAAATCCAAGATGCCAAAATAAAACCATTTAAATTGTAATTTCATAACGTTTGTTGAATATATATATGGTGAACTTCAGTTAATTGATAAAAATATTGTCTTCTTTATAAAGTGTGAACGAGAGTTTAGAGACTATATGAAGGATAAACTTGGTCTTGCAAAGGTGGCTCTGAAGGAGCTGTTGCAAGAAACAAAACTTATAACACATAAATCATTAGCCACTGTGAAAGAAAATCCACAACATTTAACTGAAATTGAGAACCTATTAACCATGGATAAAAGGTAATTTTGATATTTAGTTGATTTGAGAATACTTGTATCAATAAAAATTTGATTAATTATTCAATCAATATTATTGTTTGCAGGTATTTAGTTTTAGAACATTTAGGTACTGAAAGGACTAATATAGTCATGAACTATTTAGAAGAACTTGACAAGAGGGGGCCGCCGCCTCCTCCTACAGCATCTGAACCTACACGAAGACTTAAGTAGATTTTACAAAGGCAATATTTAGTTGCATACAAATAATGTTTTTATAGTAAATATGAGCAAATTATTTTAATTGTGATCTTGATTAGAAAAATTGTAATTTTGGAAATTATTGATTTTTGTTTTTAAATATTGTATTTAAATAATATAATTTATATTATACATATTCTGTTTGCTTCTAACAGATCATGTAATAATTCAGTATAGGACATGAATGTACATTTGTTCTTCTATTATTTTTTTGTGGATATGATTTTTTCTATACTGAAAGAAGTCATAAAAAATCAAATTAAAACTATGTGATGTAATGTCTTTATTATCAAATATAAAATTTAATTTATTAATATTTGTAGAATGACTGGTGCAAAGAAACTTTCAGTTATGACCAATAAATGAATTGTCCATTTTCATGTGATTTTATTTTTATAAAAATGATTACTTGTTAAAAACTTCTTATTTTCATTGTTTTTTTCCATGGAAGTTGGAATCCGCTAAGAAGTGTGTAAAAATTCACCTGAAATTCTCAACTATTTCACCAAATCGTATATAAAAGAGTGATATATCTTGTGTCATCATCATTATTATATTGTCTAGGATCTTTATTGACGCTCCAAGCAAAAGGGTTCAAAATGAAAATGAATTATTTACTGAAGATACCAATGTTAATGACTACCATATTAGAAGCAGTTACAAGTATTAACAGTATGAGAAAGCCCATTTTGCAATGAGTATGGAACTAAATGATCGAGCTACCGGAGCTACATATTCTTCATTGTACACACACATATATATATATATATATAATATATATATTATATATTAACAAAGTCTAATAATCGGGCATAACATCAATAAAAAACATGAATTTCTTTCAAAAATTTATTTTAAATCCATACGTTTCGGCTATAATCCTAGCCTTCATTCAGTGGAAAAATTAGTAGATCTTAGTGTTAAATTGGAATTTAACCATTTTAACACTAAGATCTACTAATTTTTCCACTAAATGAAGGCTAGGATTAGAGCCGAAACGTATGGATTTAAAATAAATTTTTGAAAGAAATTCATGTTTTTTATTGATGTTATGCCCGATTATTAGACTTTGTTAATACATATGTCAACATCAAATTCAGAATCATACAAAATATATATATATATATATATATATATATATATATATATATTCAAACTTATGTGCTTGTACTTAACCGTAAACTTATATTCTAACCAATTCTAACTAATAATATCTAGTAATAATACTAATATCTAATATTGTCTAGGAATTCTAACATTGTCTAGGGCATAGATAAGATCTAAACATGATCAAGGGACTATTATTATGTCTAGGGATGGCAATTTTTGTGCGGCCCCATGATAATCAACAATCGCACTAATTATAATTTTCAATTTAAATAAATAAAATCATTTTTGTAAAGGCTAATACAAGGGGCTAATATAGAAGTCTGAATACTAAGTCAGCTCCAAACGAAAAAAATAGATATGAATAGATGTCGATATGATATTCTATGGATAGCGCTTGACAGATAACGACAAATAATTGTCAACGCAACGGACAACGGGAGACTAGCGGCTCCTCTATGGTTGAGTGGGCAACACTAGTTCACGAGTCACTCACCAGTCTATAAGTCCATATGCTTGTAATCGTGGGGAATTATGTCCGAAAAAATGTTCATATTACGATTATTTTGAAAAAAAAAAAGAATTTTCAAACAGTTTTAAAATACAAAGAAAAACATTTTTTTCAAAAAAGTCAATTTTTTTCAAAAATTTCAAGATTCTCAAAAATCTAATTTTTTCAAAGTTTTCAAAAATATTAAAGCTTTTAAAAGTTTGGAATTACGGTACGAGAAGTTTCATCAAATTGCCTTAAGGCGCGATGCCACGCACCACTAGTTTTTCCAGATTTGTTGCGGCCCAGTCATAGACCTTATACAATACATTGTACAAGGTCTATGGGCCCAGTGCTTTGTATATTCCTAAATTTTGGCCCAAAGAGTAATTTAGGTTGGATATCGCAAATAGGTGGTAAACACGGGCGCTTTGAAATTACATCAATTTTAATTCTTTCAGCACTTCATAGAGGTCACCACCAACCGTAACACGTAAATTTACCCTTAGTTTTAATTATATAAATATATATATATATATATATGTATATTATATATATATATATATATATATATATATATATATATAACATGTCATAAAAAAGATATGAAGAGAAAAAATTAAATATTTTTTTATTCAAAAAAGATATGTTTCAATATACATAATTGCTACTTAAAAAAAGTGATATAATTGCTACTTAAACCTTTAAAGTACGTGTTCTATATCTAGAGAGACTGTTCAAAACAAACACTGAATTTGAAGCACATTAGTGTCATCTGTTATATGCTGAAAACACTCATACAAAATAAATCGTATTTGTTCTATGTTTACCCCCCATGTTGACAGCGACGGCCATCTCACAGCTCATTTTAACACCAACAAAAAAGCATTTTTCACATCAGGCAAGACTAACACTGTCGACATTTTGGAGTCAAGCAAAAACTATATAGACGCCAAAATGCCTAGTTTTAAGTTTTAATATTCGTGTTTATCCAACTTCAAAGAATATCGTTATTATACAACTGCAAAATCATTTCGATGTATTATTAGTTTATAAGGTTATGCATTTTTACCTATTTTAATTATGAATTGTGAAAATCATTGATACCGTTTAAGGTATTTTTCTGAATGCATTTAAGTTAAGTTATTATGGCGCAAAGATTTCCTGTTGCGGGAGTGACAGCCAATACAGCCAGTCCTACACAAAATAGATATCCACCTCCACAAAATTCAAACATTCGTCAATATGCAGGGCCAAACTTTCCAGTAAGATTAACAAGTAATTTTGTAACAAGTTGTATGAATTTTTATTGATAGTTCTGACATTTATATAGCAAAGAACAAGTTTTACTCCGCCCCCAGCTGTAGGGCCAAGTGGTCCGACAAACAATGCTGGCAATTCTGTAATGCAAAGAGCAGCACCATCTCCGTATCAAAGTAATGTAAGGTCTGGTGCAATTTCAAATTCTTCCGGAGGGAAAAGATCAAATGATAGCAGGAACACACTAGCCCAAGCACAACCAAAATCGTAAGTAATCAATGAGTCACAATGTTACAGCTATTAAAATGAATTAAAAATATTGTTATCGTATATGTTGTGTATTACGAATTACTAAGTATCTAAGTAGCAGTTTTGTTATAATCATTGTACATTATGTTTATATATTACTAGCGGTACCTGATTATATATATATAAATAAACAAAAATGTGATTTTGTTTACATCTAGTTAAGGTATGAAATAGCGCACATATTTTTAGTGATTGTTGATTATTGAGCTGTAGTGGATGCATCTTTGAGTGAAATATCTCATACTGTATCCCAATATATAATATGAGCTTATAAGAAAATCAGCAGTAATTAAACTGCAAAAACCAAACAGCAAACATCATAGCCCATGACATATATCAGCCACCAATTATCAATATAAGTTCAAAATATTTTCTAGTTATTGCCTAAATATAAAAATATGTTTATTTGCTTTTTTTTCTTAAAATTTCACCCAAAAACACATCCAAATTCTCATTTTTAATTAATGTTCAATATTTTTTAAACTAAAAGTAACATTATTCACCCAATGCCAAATACATTTTTTTTTTTTTTTTTTTTTTTTTGTTACAATTTATTTTTGTTAATCAAGACATTATTGTCTTATTTACAAAATTGATATGAGCAAAAAAATAATTCAAAAATACAAAAAAATGCAATAAATTGAATATAAAATGAAAAAAAGTTAAAATAAAAATAAAATACAAACAGTAATACAAAAATAATAACATAAATGAACTATGACGTGATGATGTATGCCGCGTACTACGTCAGGGCGCGTGCAGACATTGGGCTAGGTGTTTGGTAGATCGGAAGGCCATTTCTTGCTCAATCTTCTTAATGGTCTGTGAATCGCTTGAATAGTAGGATTTGTATGCTGGATTAATTTATTGTTTAAAGATGAACTTCTAATCTTGATCATTTCGTTGACTGTTGAGATTTTCAAATCCTTATGTAGGCAAAAGTTTGAAATATACCCAGGCGCATTAGTAAGGATACGCAGAATTTTGTTCTGGTACCTTTGAATGACAAATTTTATGAGCACTTTTTAACAAAGATACCTATATATTCATCAGTACAATGGCAATTTATCTTTTGTGAATTTGTGCGGTTTTTGTTAGTGTTTATAAGATTGATTTTGTAAAATATTGTTTGATTTTTGGCCTATATTTTCATAAAATAAACTAACTAGAATATGATGTTGAAAAAAAAAAGAAAATTGAAACAATTTTGTAATAGTTACACATTACTTTCTCTTACTCCAAAATGTATCAAAAAAAGAGTAATTATTCTTGGCATTTTTTATATATATTATCAAAAAATTTGACATTAAGACGGTTAATATAATTTATTTATTATCACTTTTATTTATTACACCTTTGCAACTGTAAAGGTTCACTTGTTTTTTTTTACCCGAACCGCATCTATGTCATCGACATACATTTCATAACTTTATTTACTGTTGTTTGAGTGCATATACATTAAGGATCTAGAAAAACGATGTATTGCGTTCTTCGTTGGTGGTTCGTTTCGTTATAGTTAATTACTTTCTTATTAGCGTTATTCGAAAGCTTATTGTTTTTTCTTTTAGTATTGCAAATATTGTTCAAATCAAATTTGTGGAACGCATTGAAAAATTGAACAAACCAGAGCCAGTACACCCGCGCGTAACGCTAAAGCCGGCCACAGACGTAACTGTATACTTGTGCAACTGAATGAATGCGCAACCAGGCGTATTTTCACAGCGCCCACAGACGGTTCAAGTTTATGTTCAAGTACTTGCGCAAGCACATCCACAAATGTCAAATAATAAATGTCAAAACATAACCTAAAAATATATCTTTTTTTATTAATTTATATATTTACTGCATCAGAAGAGAATT